TGCTGTGATTGCTAGTATCACTCAGCCCTCTGTGAACAGTAAACAGCTATCAGTGTGCTAATGATCCATTGTTATGCTGATGGTCCATCTTGACCATGTGATCAGCTGGTTTTGGTTGTCAGCAGCAAACTGATTGATCCACTTTCAGAAGGTGCTTTTTATAAGACTGAGCTGAATACAGCTCCTCAGACTGAGGAAGTCTCTCAGATGAGAGACGAAACGTTTCTACATTTTTTTTTTGTTTTGCTTTGTTTTGTTTTTTGAATGTCCAGAGGACCAGATTGAACTTTTTTAGATGTAGTAGGAAATGTTTCTAGTGTTGTCAGCTGTGTGCAGGTTTTAAAAAATAGGGCTGAGGTGTTTACTTTTACTAAAGATGAGGACAAAACCAAGCTTTTATTAACAAACAGATCAAAGGGCAAGGAGAGAGCACATAGAGTAACTGCAGCTCGAGTGAGAGAGAGGGAGAAATCATAACAGGAAGATGAACTGGCTTCAGGTTCAGTTAAACTGGTTTAGACCTGACACGTTGAATATTACACGAGGGTGCACGTGCCAAGGGTTCATCCAAAGTAAGATGTTTTAGAATTGATTGTTGACTTTACTTTTTATTTTCAGAGCTAGTTATGAGTTGTCTTCCTAATATATTAAAACTCAAATCAATCTGCTGGCTCCTCAGATAAATAGTGTTAACTTACTTTTATATATATATAAATGTTTCTGTTCAGATGACTTCTGTTGTGACTTGGAGCTATATGAATAAACTGAACTGAACTGATTTATGAATAGACTTTCAGGCTCAGGTGTGTAATAAAAAATTATGATCATCTGTATGAAACGCAGCACTGAGGTGTAACGGGACCAGTGTAGACACCTGTCCATTGTCAGACGTCATGAGAATATCATTAGTAACTTTCACCAGTGCTGTTTCTGTGCTATGCTGAGCTTTAAATAATTCAAAATAATGTTAATATTTATAATAAGATTATGCTAGGATAACCCCAGTTTCTCATCTAAAACTTATCAAATTCTAAAGAGTATCTGAAACAAAAATACTGTTTTCTTTGTTAAATAGTAAATGTTCAGTATGTTACATATGTTCTAATATTTTTGGATGGGACTGTGATTATATCATGTCTCTGTTTTAGAGGAGTGGAAGACTTTTATAGAAGAGGAGAGAGGAGGGAATAGACTAACAGAAAGAAGAGTTAAAGAGAGAGAAGGAAAATACAAAGACTGATAGAAAAAGAGTGAATGAGAGCGGAGGAAAATGGGAAGACTGATAAAGCAAAGAGAAGGTAAAAAGAGAAGGAAACGAGCAGAGGACTGTTGCAAAGAAAAAGGAGGAAAGGAAAGAAGAAAGACAAGACTGAATGACAAGATGCTCTTTCAAAGAAAACAAGTGTCACTTTACTGAGAAATTACCAGCAGTTTCCATTTCTACGTCCTGGTCGGTTCTTCAGATTGTTGCTCTTCACATTGTTGCTCTTCACATTGTTGCTCTTCACAT